TGTTTACAGCAGATCACTTCGGGGCAGCCCATCTGCCCGCCTCCAGGTAACCCGAGTGCTTATCTCGGGCTTTCGTCAGAACGCTCGCTGCCACGTGAGCCTGCGCGGCCTCAGTCTCTTCCGAGTCTTACAGAGCAGTGTTCAGCTCCTTGCCAGCAAGTTGAATTGTGCTTCTGCCTCTTGGGGGCATCCTGCTGCAGGGGGCGTTGTCCACGCTGATGCTTAGGGTGTCCTGGGGTAGACCGATGTGAAAAATAGCTTGTAGACATCTAATCAGAGAAGAGCTCAGCTTCCCTTAAGATCTAGGACATTCCTGCCCCCCTGGGAGCGCCGTTCGCGCTCTGGGAGTCACCGCGAAGGAGAAAGCGTGCCCAGGACCCAGGCTGGCGCTCTCCCCAGCGACCGCCCCGCCCCTGGGAGTTGTCGCTTTTATGGATCTTCTTCTGTCCCAGGCGGGCTGTTCTGTAAACCTCCCACTTCCTCTTTGAAAGAAGGAATCACAGAGGGATGGGACGCGGCAGAGACTGGGTGCCAGACAACCACCCGCGCACAAAGGTGACGAGGACGGAGGAGTGGCCCTGTCCGCCCAGCAGCAGGGTGGCAGTGGCTATGGGTCACCTTGTCCCAAATCCCCTCCTACCCATGGCAGTCCCCTCTGTCGCAGTGGCTGCCGCCCAGGTGGCCCAAATCTGGTATAAAGTCATGCCAGACGACACTCAAGGCCTTCACACCTCTGTCCTCATGTATGTACATGAGCTGTTTTATCCGCTGCATGACACTGGCAGGTGGGACACGAGACTGGGAAGAACACAGGTAAACAAAGAGACCTCGGTCAGGACTGTCATCCCTCCACGTGGCTGACTGTGGGCCCTGGGAGTTGCTAACCATCCAAATGATGCTCAAGGGGTTTCATCACCTACTGAAATCAAGCTGCCAAATAAGCAGTTTAGGCCACTTCAGCCCCCGGGGATTTGATTATGTGGCACAAAGACTGGTGCATAAACATTAATCCTGGGAAATTAATTCATGAGAATTAGCAGCAGATGCCCCTGGAGGGCCTGCTTTGTATCTACTTTTGCATAAAATGTCGAACTAACCACTTCCTGAAGGTGTCCGGGGCGGGAGCGGCATGATTATTCATGGCTCTGCAGCCGTCTAGAGAAAATCACGAGCAGGCCGCCGCGTGACCCGGAGACGCATTCTGATTAAAGCGAAGGCGTGGACGGGAGAAGGGCTCTGAAATGATTAAAGCGAAAACCGTTGGTGATGAAGGAACACGCGTCCCGCGCTGAGGCCTCTCAAAGAATCTCACTTTGAATCTCCTGTCAAGCACATGGTTTTACTTTTTCAATGCAAAGTATTTAATTGTGTGGCCCTGTCGCATTGGCTCTGTTTTGAAGTCCAGTGGAGGGCAAGGAATACGGGGAGAGGGTTCTGGAGGCAAACCTGGCAGGGGGGTGCCAGGAGAGCGACGTCTGCAGCACCTTTTGCCGCCAGCAGGGATTAGAATTATTAACCTTACAAAACACCTTAATTTCTAGTGGAAATTAAGAAGGAAGCAGCTTTGAACTGCCTGTTAAACCAGAATTTAGACTGGCAGGTTTCCCACCATACTCCCTAGAGAATTTTTAAAAATGTGACACATGGCATGTTTGCTAATGGACCCAAATATCTTGGATTTCTCTATAATAAGCAAAAAGTCTCTTAAATGAATGGCAGTGGAAAAACTGGACAGATGCATGTAAAAATGTCAAACTAGGCCATTTTCTTACACGATATACAAAATTAAACTCAAAACGGATTAACAACTTAAGTGTAACAACGAGAAACCCTAAAACTCCTAGAAGAAAAAAAAAAAGAAAGGCAATACGCGCTTTGGCTTTGCTCTTAGCAATATCTTTTGGGATGTTTCCTCAGACAAGGGAAACAAAGGGAAAAATAAACGGGACCACATCAAAGTAAAAAGGGTTTGCCCAGCAAAGGAAACCATCAACAAAACAGACAGCCTACTGAATGGGAGAAGGTGTTCACCAACGATGTGTCCAGTAAGGGGTCAATATCCAGAATATAGGAGGGACTCATACAGCTTAACACCAAAAAGGAACNCCAAAACAGAAAGACAGCCTACTGAATGGGAGAAGGCATTCACCAACGATGTGTCCAGTAAGGGGTTAATATCCAGAATATAGGAGGGACTCATACAGCTTAACACCAAAAAGGAACAACCCAGCTGAAAAATGGGCAGAGGACCTGAACAGAGGACACACAGGTGGACAAGAGACACACGGACAGATGCTCAACGTCGCTAATCATCGGAGATGCAGATCAAAACCACAGAGAGCTATCGCCTCACCCGTCAGAGTGGCTCCATCCACAGGTCAACAAACGACAGGTGCCGGCGAGGGTGCGGGGAAAGGGAGCCTGTGCACCGCCGGTGGGAACGCAGACGGGTGCGGCCGCTGTGGAAAACAGTGCGGAGGGTCCTCGAAAACTTAGAATGTGGAACCACCATGTGACCCAGCAATTCTCCTTCTGGGTATTTCTACAAAGACATCCAGACGCTCATTCAAGGAGCTGCATGCACCCCCGTGTCCACTGCAGCATTATTTACAGTCGCCAAGGTACGGGAACAGCCTTCGTGCCCATCGATAGACAAGTGGGTGGGTAAAGGGGTGATGCCTGCACACGATGGGCACTACTCAGCCATAAACAAGAAGGAAGCCTTGCCGTCTGCAACCACACAGATGGGCCTGGAGGGCACTGGGCCGAGTGAAATAAGTCGGATAGAGACAAATACCACATGATCTCACTTATAGGTGGAAACTAAAACAACAAAAACAGAGACTCACAGAGAACAAGCTGATAGTTGCCCGATGGGAGGGAGGTTTGGGGGATGGAGGGGTTTAAGAACTAACAGGCAATTATGCAGATTGCCTATGGTATAAGCAGTGAGGGGATGTAAAGCACAGCATCCTAAATATAGTCAATGATATTGTAATGACCGTGTGGGGTGTCAGACAGGCACTAGACATAGCCAGGGCTCACCCTGTAAGTCATATTCACATCTAATCACTGGGCTGTACACCTGAAACTAAGATAACAATATTGGACGTCAATTGTAATAGAAAAAAATGTCCTGCAGATTAATTACTAACTACAGAAGGAAAAACGATTAGCTTACGATGGAGAAATGTGGCCAATATCACCTTGATCGGGCGATGAAACTTTTACATCGGGATACCGGGGCGCACTGAAGTTTAGTGCCCCCGATGTGCCAGGGCGGGAAGACCACAATGTCGACTACGCAGCTTTCTTGCCAAGAACATTTCGCTTGAATCTACCAGGAGGGGAAGTCGGGCGGTTTGAGTTCTCGGGCATTTTACAAGGCCGCTGGCCTGGACTGCAGACTGAAATGAACTCAGTGTAAGCAGAAGCAAAATACCGACCACGAGGATACAATTTGTGATCCTTAAGAATTTTAAAAATAAAATAGCTACAGAAGACATGGGGACAATAGGAAAAATCTGAACAGGGGCTTCCGTTAAGAAATACCACATCAATATCAAATATCTTTCACAGAATGCATTGTATCCGCGTAGGAAAGAAGTCTTACTTCTTAGGAGATACACGTCGAAGGGTTTCTTTAGGGGTAAATTTCACATGATGTCAACAACTTTTGGTCGGTTCAGAAAGAAGTGCATGTTCACCAAACACATCTTCACACGGACACGAGAGGGGAACACGTGTGGCCAAATGTGAACACCCCGCGAATTTCGGTGAAAAGAGCTATTTCCATACCACATTTTCAGGTTTTCTATAGGTTTGATTTTTTTTTAATAAGTTGAAGAAACCTTTTATTGGGCCCTGGGCTTCTTGGTATACCCTTTGGGTTGATTCTGTTTGTATTTCAAGTTGTTGTGAAGCTTTCTTTTTTTAAAATAACAAAAAAAAAACCCCACAGTGTTTCTGGTTATCTTTCTGGAGTCTCTCCCTTGACATTTACTCTTTCCGTTGAGTGTCTGGGCCACATGATTTTTTGAACGCGTGTGCTGGCAGGTAGAATAACTTCAATGGAAGAAGTGTTGTTTGCTAATCTCCATGGAGCCCCGACGCTTAGGAAAAACATTTGAAAGTAAAATGGACATGTCCTATCTGCTTTGGAGCTGGCGCTCAATAAAGATGCGCCGAGACCCGAGTGTGTGTTATAAGCTTCCAAATATCAGTAGAACACCTGACAGCAACCACAATAACCTCAGGCCCAGCTGCACTTCAGTCAGGCTCACGCACCCCTCTGGACGCCACAGGTGATGTCCCCGTGAGCGCCCGAGGGGCTCCTTCCCTCCCAGGGCTCAGCCTGAGGTCCTCTGAGAAAAGCTCCCTCCCCGCCCATCCTGGTGCATCTCGGCTGCTGGGGATTTTTCGTCATCTGCCGTGATCTTCATACTTGACCCCCCCCACAGCCCCCCATCCCGCCTCGCCGGCTTTTCTTCGGGTTCCCACCTTTCTCCGTGAGCGGCGCACCCCCTTGGAGGCATCCCACCTCCTCTCCCATCTAACTCCTGCCGCTCACCCAGCAGGCGGGACAATGTTCTTTGCAAAATATACTTATTTCGGGGTCTCTCTGAGATACCAGGAGCCCTGTAGAAAATTCTGGGGATGTCACCCATCGTTGGGCTTCAGGAGTCTCTGCGAGCGGGCTACTGAGGCTGGCGTTAAGGCCGCGGACCCTGGGGCGGGACAGCTGGTCACCGCGGCCCGCCTCCACCGGTGGCTGTGCTTAGTCTTCCCAAACGCGAAACGAAGACGCTATCCGCGCCCACCGCCAACGGTTGTGGGGGCTACAGGCGTCTACGCACACCAAGCACCCCGCATAGTGCCCCGGGGGCGTTTCCCACCTTTAACCTTTACCAGGCTGGGGGGAGCTCTGTTGTCCAGACAGGAGCGGCGATGCCCACCCAGTAACCTCCTCTTCTTGGTTTTCTGTCTCTCTCATGGGTCAGGTGTCCCTGGGACTTCTGCACGCTCACGCGACACACATCCTGTGGCCTCCGGAGCGCTGGCAGAAGCTGCAGTCTGTCCTCCCGCCAGAGCGCCTGCCGGTTCAGAGGGAAGACTGACCGCGGGGGGTCCCCGCGCCCCCCGCATTGGGCGCCACCAGCCGCGGGAAGGACCCCCGACAAGACCATGCCGCGCGGGAGAGTGTTCTTTCACGTTAAGACGACGGGAGAAAGAGTGAAGACTATTGAACAGTGTTAAATGGCACCCGATTCCGTGGCCAACCGTGACACCCTGTTGTTTTTATGCCAAATAATGCCGGCCTCTGGGATATGAAAATTGTTTTCCCGTATGTCTTGTGGGGGTAAATTCGAGATTCTGCTTCCACCCTTCTTCTGTGATTGTGGGGTTTTGATTTTGGTGCTTGCTGCCGAAAGAATGTGAAAAATGAGCCTTTTGAGGGAAGTAATTGCTTGAGTGATGTCGCTTACTCTTAAGACGGGGCGCGAAGAAACGTACGGTACACGCCCTGACGGGGATTGTATGGAGACCGACGGTTTCTACACCAGCGACCGCCAGGCGGGTGAACTGTAAACTGTGATGTAAAAATAAAACACTGGTTTGCTCAGGTACCGCTCCGGGTGTTTGTCACCTAACCGGGACATCCGTTCATGGGGGCACCTTTCCCTCCTGGGGGGCCGGTCCTGTACAGTCAGACCTTTCCTATGGGCCCTTTTTAACTGACAGCTTCCCTCCTGGGGATCTCACGACTGTTCACATGGGCGAGTAAACCCCTTTACCAATATTTGGTCACTGTTTGGTAAAAATGTCCTTTGTGAAATGGAAGGAAAAAAAAATCCCTCCAGATCAACCAAGTCTGCGTCTCACCCCAACGGTTCTTCAGTGTTTATGTCTGTGGCACTGAAGCCCCCGACTGCAGTGGACTCTGCAGACGGGAGGTAAGTGGCCGGCACACAGGCCGGTACTTAGGAAGCTTTGCTGCTCTGTCCCGTCACTGAGTGGAGGCCCGGCCGATAGAAGCTAAGTCTCTGAACCAGCCCCCCCGAAGGCCTGGTCTCGCCTCCCTCAGGTTCCTCAGCAGTGTCGCCCCAAGCAGGGCCGGCCTTCTGCCAACGCGGGTGCAGACTCCCCACTCCCGGGAACACGCGGGAGCCGCAGGAACAGACGCCTCCTAAGAGCGTGTGACTGATATGATTCGTTCCCACCACACTGGCTTGTTCACCAAGCGTCAGGGGGCACTTACGTACCAAGGCTGGTAAAAAGGAATGTTTTAAAAGAAGGCACAGTGAACCCGCGATGGTGCGAACCTCGATTTAACAGACTTGAGGTTTAAAGGAAAGAATTTCCAGTCCCTATGTCATGTGAAAGTTCACACCCTGTTAACTTGAACATGCTTTTAAACAACATTTGCTTATAATTAAATTAAAAGGTTATTTATTATTATTCATTCACTGTTATTTTTAACAAATTTCAGCGAATAGGCGAAATGTTGGAAAAATCACTGTAGTGATTTCTCCAACATAAATATTACACACCGACAGCCGCAGGCCACATGTTTAAGTCCGAGAGGCAGCGCTCAGAAACGATGCTCAGGGGGTGATTGGGACGTGATCACGCCGCGTCTCGAGGGGCGACTGTTGTCACGTGGCGTGACTTTCTGCAGCAGTTGTCACGAGAGCTGTCAGGACAAAGAGGTGGAAAGATCTTGAGAGTAAAATAAGATGAGCCGTTGTTAGGGGGAAAGGAGAGATGATGGCAACGGAGAGAAGGCCATCGCGGTGGCGTTTTATATACCGAGCAGGGAAAACGAAAGTCACCGTAAGTCCCTGTTCCTGGATTAAACAATACGGGGGCCAGGCACGCTCCCCAGGCCCGTGGTAATGCTGGGCCAGGCACGCTCCCCAGTCCCTTGTTAATACGGGGNGGTCCCGTGGTAATGCTGGGCCAGGCACGCTCCCCAGGCCCGTGGTAATGCTGGGCCAGGCACGCTCCCCAGTCCCTTGTTAATACGGGGACCAGGCACACTCCCTAGTCCCGTGTTAAAAACAATCCTGAGAAGCAGCTAAAATAACCCAGCTGCAGTTAGTGTCCTGGAAGTTAAGCCTGAACCAACCGGACAGCTTACTCCCCAAGACTCACTCAGACTCGCTCCATGCTCTGTCCGCCCACCCAAGCCCGTCCCGCTGGTTCCCCACCGCCGGCCAGCAGCTGCTGAGAGGCATCGTTCCTTTCACCTCTGCGCCCCGACGCGCTAGGCCCCGGATCCTGGTCACTGAGCCCTGGGCAGGCTCATTTACTGATACACCTGACAAGCATTTATTGAGCACCTTCTATTTCCCAGCCCCTGCTTTTCAGGACGCCCCATCTGATGAGGAGAAGTGTGTAAGTAAATAACGACCGTACCACAAGCACAAGGAAGACGGAGCTATTCCCGAAGCCCAGGGTGGCAGGAGCAGTTGGATCCCAAGCTTGCTTTATTTGCAGCCAGAGAGGAATTTTAAAAGGGGCTCAAATGACACTCACCCAGCTGTTGGCCCCGAGGCGGAAACGATCTAAGGGTTCCCGAGCAGCTCAGGAAAGATCAGACCTGTCGTTAGAGAGGTAATCCTGTGGCACAACACGCGTAAAGCATTGAACAGTAGATGGGAAAAAATATCGGGGGGCAAGAGGCTGTCTGCGCGCACTGACACCAGGCCACAAAGGACGGGTCTCCGTGCCATGCTCTCCCCTTTAGAGGCTCGCTCCCGCCCCTCCGAGAGCCCGCAGCGCTTTATCTCCCCTTTCCTCCTGACTCTTAGCTGTAACCTGGAGCTAGCCACCCCTCCCTCAGCTCCCTGAAGGTTCCTGTCACCTTTCGCATCTTCTCAAACACTCCCCCCGGCCTTGCGTAGGGAGGTGCTCAATAAATGTTGACAGAAAGAACCGCGGACACGGAAGATCACAGTGGAATCCGTAAATAATGTTATTCTAGATGTATGGTCTTTCCTGTTAGAGCCGAGGGGGTGACCGAAGAAGAAATGACAAAGTGGAAGCGAAACCATCAGGAGATGACACGAGGAACACAGGGAAACGGAGCCGAGGGAGCCACGCGAAGATGCTGGCAGCAGCTGGGAGAGAGCCCGTTCCATCTCCACCGTACCCCTGGAGCGACCCCGAGATCACGGAGGCTTCTGCGGGAGGCCTCACGATTTATGGGGGGGGGTGTGTGTGTGTGCACAGGTATTGCAAGGAATCTGAGAGCTGGGCTTTGTCACCGGCCCCCAGGCACCGTGACATAGAGAATATTAAAAGACTCAAACTAGCCAAAATCCAGGGGAGCGGAGACGGACTGAAGAGACGGGGCAGGTAGTTAATCTTCCGGAAGGTGCCGCAGGGGCAGGCAGGTTTGTTCACCCAGCTAGCTGCCGCAAGCCTCCTTCTGTATGATTTGTTATCCTACCCAGTGGGAAGCGTAGGCCTTGCCATCGAGTCGCAAGGCAAGGAACGGCTGGATCAGTAAATAACATTCGCCAGCGGAGGAGAGAGACAGCCTCCCGTCGACCCCACACCAGGACTAAAACCCAGGCCCAATTTGGCCCCAGGTGTCAGTGTTTCTCAGCACATTTATGACGACTTGAGGAAAAGAGAAACCGATGAATTGGCAATGAGCCCCCTTATTAAGCAATTTTTTTTTATCATAATTCAATAATGACTCTAGATGGATATCTCAGTCAGAAAATTGCACTTACTGCAGAAAATTATATTCTCTATATATTACCGTAAAGATAACATCTCAATTGTCAGAATCATTAAGCGCTGCCTAGGTGAATAGCGCAGGTACTGCAAATGGGGGAGCGTTTCGCATTCATCGTCTAAAGCGTCTTTTCTTGGGTTGACATAAGCAAATGTAGTCTTTTAATAGGACGGATATTATGTCAGCTCAAAGGACAAGCTTAAATATTTTTGTCACCTTCTAAAATGTAGGTACAGGGTCGGTACGATGGCTTTCCTTCCTCCGAACATGTGCACAAGGTGTGGGTGTTGGACAGCCGACACTCCTTCCCTACGTCTCTGTCAACTCGGCCCCCTCTCCGTAACTCGCCGCTCAGGGATCGACTCCCAGTCGTTCCCTCCTGGGTAGCCTCCTGGGCCTTGACAAACTCTTTAGCTTAAGGACGTACAGGCTTGGCGTTCTCCTGGACACGGGCTTTGGCTGAGAGAAGGAAACGGGACTCATCCCAGAACATCGAGGCCCAAGGAGAGGTTTCCCGGTTTCTTCTAGACGGGTGCTTTTCTCACGCCCTTGGGAGTCCGCGGAATCGACTCTCTCTTCCTCTCGGCACCACAGCGTGCGGTTGTTAAAACCATAGGAAAACAGCTAACGCACAGCCATGGGACCGCCAAGGAAGGGAGCTAGAGCCGTTGAATGTTTGCTGAGCCTACACCTTGTCTCAATTTGTTTCCATGAGTAAGTAACTCTGTTACTTGAAGCTGCCACCTTTCCGATACATGTTAAATAGATGCCTATTTAAAATAACCTAAGTGTGTGTTAGTTATTTAGTAACTCTCTGCCTAAGACATGATAACCAAAACGAAGGGATGGATCTTGATGACGATGGAAAGGGTGGGAGAAGGAATGCGGGGGGCGATGGAGGAAAGCGCTGGGTCAACGACAGGGTGAGAGCATGTTCAACTTTTAAAAAAACTATAGGCTTCCCGAGCGGCTGTACCTTTTCACCAGCAGCGTCTGACAGTTTTCCTGCACCCTTGTCAGCACGGGGTACTATCAGTATTTTTATTTTAGCCATTCGGACAGGTGTGTAGTGATAGCTCAGAATGATTTTTTCATTCCTCTAAAGGCAAGCGGCGTTGAACATCCTTTCATGTGTTTCATTTGCCATCCCTGTAGCCCCTTTGGTGACGGGTCTGTTCAATTATTTTGTGTCTGTTCTAGTTGGATTGTTTGTTTTCTTAAGATTGAGTTTATAGAGCTTGTTGTACATTCTGTATGCAGACAGTTCGCCGGGTATGTGTTTTGCAAATATTTCCTCCTGCCTTCTCACCTTCTTAACAGGATCTTCTGCAGAGCAATAGTTTTTTAAAAAAATTTTTATGAAGTCTAATTTATTTTTTTTATAGATGGTGTATTTAGTGTCCTGTCTGAGGATTCTTTGCCTAACCCTAGGTCATGAGTAACTGATTAGCGTGTCCATTTCTCTGTGCCCACTTTCCCTCTGTGCCACCCCCCCCCCC